CACTCAGACGAATCTTGAATTTCATTCCGATTGTTTAGCGATTCCAAAGTGTTGTCAATTATGTTCAGTTTGGTTGACCCATTCCTTGAAAAAAAATCGCATTCATTGGTTGTTTCTTTTAATACATGGTGCTTTGTGAGGACATTGTAATTTTTGGGATATAGCGAATGGTTCATTTAAAAGGGGAAGTGAGAGAAGGGGATTAAATTAGAAGAGTGTTTAAAATTGCAGTATCTTGACGCAACGTTGGGTGCGGGAAGTGGTTCGGAACACTACGAGACAAGTTGTTTGCATGCTGTGAATCAAGCGATTGGACGTGCGATCAGACATCGAAATGATTACGCTGCGATTATTCTCATTGATTCGCGATATTCAAAACCAAATATTGAAAAAGTTTTTATTTTAATACAATCCATTCATTTTTTCGCCTTTCATAGTTGAAAAGTGGATAGCTGTGAGAGAACGATTATCAGAGATTGTAAAGGAAGTTAAGATGAGTTTTGCGTATAACTGTGTTTTTTAAAATTTTATTCATTGATTCTGAGATAACTCGCATTCCGCTTTATTCACGGACATTGATTAGGGACTGTGCGATTCGTTTAATGTGGTTGTTTGATTTTAATGGTTATTTATTGTTAGTTCAGTAGCTGTTTGATTCGGATTTTGCTTTGTTAGCGATGAAGAAAAATGATTGAAGTTGAAAAATATTCGATCTTCGAGAAATGCAAATTTCAGGGTCTACCGACTTGGATATCGTCACGTTTGAAGCACTGTAAAAATTTTGGTGAATTGATCACTCAACTTTCGACATTCTTTAAAATGCGCAAACAACTTTCATTATCACCATAATTGTGTTTCACGCATTTATTATTTCATTTCATATCCTACTGTTTAAATTTCACATTTTTCTTTGAAAGTTTCACTCATTTGTTCGCATTTTGGCGATTCACTCTTGAAATTAACGAAACATTTCATTTTCAATGTNGTGTCTATAAATGTTATTTTCCGCATTTATGTATGCATATTTTGTTGACATCATTTATGTTGTTTTAGTACCAAGATTTATCAGTCACCGGTTTATTAGGATATTACATACCTCTGTTTGTTAACTTAACTGTATCTCATATCAATAACTGATCGCATTTATAAGTTATCCTCGTTTTGCCAAGCCTTTAATATTGTGAAATAGGAAGAAAATTGTTTTGAATTGTTCCATTTTAAACTTTTTCGAATTTTCGTCTTGAACATTCATGTAATCATTCGTTTTTGTGTTCATTTAATGTATATTCATGCTTTCGAATCACTTTATCATTATTATCAAATCATTATGCTGTTTCTACTTAAAAACTTCAATACTTCTCTCTTATCAAGTGCCTATCGAGTATTTTCATGTTGTCACATTCCTTACCATGCTGATGTATCTCTGTCATGCTGTTAT